GGGCGCCAAGACCATTGCAGATTTACAAGAGGACGGAGAAGGCAACGTTTCGCGGCAGGGCCTACAAGCAAAGCAAGGACGACAATATAGACGTTACCATGGAAGAATACGTGAAATCGATGCAGACGGCACGCGTCTCCCGTGAGCGCAGCTAAGCACCGGGCGGCAGGCTAACCCCAGCTGAACATCATGGACTACGAATAATGGTGGGCCAGTTGCAGTGGGCTGCGCGCGTGATTTGATTCGAACAGGCTCTCGAGGCATCTCGAGTGGCATCTACTCTGGGAGCTCTGGCGGCGAAGGACCGACAAAACGGCAATGCAGGTACAAAGTGAATTCAAAAGCAGACCAGCCTGCTGATGAGATTCACTGCTGGCCTCAAACTGTGGGAGACCATGGTGATCAGCGTGAAGGACAGTACCTTCGATAATAGACCGAAGCACCGACCACAGAGCGGTCACTTCATCTTGCTGGGCGACTACAAGACCACCGAAGACCACGGCAACCAGTACATTGTATACTGCCTTGGATGGCAGTCTTCCAAGATTTAACGAGTGGCGCGATCAATTCTATCAGCGGAGGCGTATCCATGTGCAGATTCGGTGGACCTGTTGATCTGGACACAGTCTACCCTGGCGGAGATCCTGTACTTCGGGATAGACGCTACCGATATTGTGAGCGACACCTGCTCGGTGAAGTGCATATCTGTGACGGACTGCAAGAACCTCTACGACATGATCACGAAGAAGGGGATTTCCATGACGGATCGGAGATATCTCTCGAGGCGGCCATCCTGCGTCAGTCTCTCAACGAGATGAGCATCAAGTGGGCCCAGGGCGACCAGATGTTGGCAAACTGCTTAACCAAGGTACTTCCAGGAGGCTAAGCGGGGCTGGTGGTTGCCTCGAACCTGTAGACTCTTAGGCCCGAGAAGGCGGCAGCAACCAAGGAGGTCGACGAACTCAACGCGAAGATGGCGAAGTATGTTAAGCAGGAGCTGCACGATAATACTGAGGGTAATCACGACGAGAAATAGACCTGGCCGGTGGGAGAGTACAACTACAAGGAGGGCAAAGTCCAAGATACAGATGAGGACGTCGAAGCATTCTACATGGATGATGCGATGGTCAACTACCCGAGGGAAAGGAGTGGCGCGCAGAGGATTATCCAGATACCTATGTAGCAATTCTGTTCCAATTCTGTGCACTTGCAATGTATGGAGTTTGTCGATCAACGACTCCGACGGTGGTGACAGTGGTCTCAGTCGTTGCTGGAGTGATTCTTACGAATCCCACCAGCCCTTTGGGCGTGAGTGGTTTAGAGAGCTCTCTCTGTCCTCAGCCCCCCTTCTTCCCCTTCGGGGAGGGGTTTACCCCTCCCCCATACCCCCTCCCCCTGGGCCTGGAGAGGTCCTTTCGCGGGTCGTTGGAGGGGTCTTTTTTGACTCCTGGGAGGGCTAAAAAACGACACCCCTCACGAGGATTCTGGCCCCGACGGGGGGGGCCAGAAAAAAAAACTCTCCTCTTCTTTGAAACCAAATTCATTGATGTTACTACTGTTTTGGCCCCAGTTTGCCCTTCTGAGGGGGCAGCGCTCCTTAAAGCTCCCCTTTTCTTTCAAGCCAAAATCATTGATTTTACGCAGGTTTTGGCCTCAGTTTGCCCTTCTGAGGGGGCAGCGCTCATTAAAGCTCCCCTCTTCTTTGATCGATTTCCTCCAAGATGGCCCCAAGAAGCGCCCAGGAGGCACCAAGAGGCCCCAAGATGGCCCCAAGAGGCCCCCATGAGGCCCCCAAGAGGCCACCAGAGGCCCCCAAGATGCCCCCAAGAGGCTCCCAAGAGGCCCCAAGAGGCTCCCCCGAGGCACCCAAGACGCTCCTGGAAGCCCCTGGGGCCGCCAAGAGGCCCCCAAGACGCCCCAAACGGCCTCCAAGAGGCTCCCAAGAGGCCCGAAGAGGCTCCCCCAAGGCACCCAAGACGCTCCTAGAAGCCCCTGGGGCCGCCAAGAGGCCCCCAAGACGCCCCAAAAGGGGACGAGGTGCCCGAACGCCTCACGCCACGAGGAGCCCGAACGACTCACACCAGGACGAGGGGCCCGAACGACTCACACCACGAAGAGCCCGAACGACTCACACCAGAAGGAGGGGCCCGAACGACTCACACCAGGACGAGGCGCCCGAACGACTCACACCACGAGGAGCCCGAACGACTCACACCAGGACGAGGGCCCCGAACGACTCACACACACGACGAGGGCCCGAACGACTCACACCAGGACGAGGGGCCCGAACAACTCACACCACGAGAAGCCCGAACGACTCACACCAGGACGAAGAGCCCGAACGACTCACACCACGAAGAGCCCGAACGACTCACACCAGGAAGAAGGGCCCGAACGACTCACACCAGGACGAGAAACCCCAAACGACTCAAACCACGAGGAGCGCTTTCTCTCCCTCCTCCTCCGCCTCGTCCTTCTCCCGCTCCCCCCACAAGGAGGATGTACAAGGAGGCGGGAGGAAGGAGGAACAGGGGAGATATGCGGGCCAAGCGGACACACGCCTGAAAAACACGACTGTCGGCATGCTTCGCAAGAGTTGCTGTTGTGAGATGGGCTGGTGGGGATACGCGAAGCGTAAAGAATTATCTAATGCAGCCAACGCAGCGCAGCGAAAATGACCTTAGCGTGTCTGTAATAATGGAAGTTGGCAGTTCGAGCAGCGATTACCCTTTCCAGAAGGAAGGCCCTCGGACTCCCAAGATCGAGAATACCAAAAGATGGATGGCCACGAGGCTGAAGACGCGCGAAGACAAGGACCTGGATCTCGTGAAGTACGACTGCACATTCACTTAAGAGGTTCCGATCTACCTGGGCGAGAACGCACTTCTGAAGCAGCGGTTGATCACCATGGGGACCGAGCACATCAAGAGTGGGAAGCACGAGAGCGAGACGCTCAAGGATATCTACGACAAGGACAAGCAATATTCTGACTGCCTGGGCATCTGCCTGAAGTTGGACGCCGATGACAGCCGCAGCTACAACCTGTGCCCTACGATCAAGACGCACGTGGCATACCACATCTCAAATCAGCTACGACGAAAGGTTGAGGTCCGCTACCAAGTATGTGATGATAACACTGGAGGCGATGAGGTAGGACTCACCCGTGACAAACTCAGATACAGATTCCACTACAACAATATATGCTGCTCGGTGCCCCGAGCATGAAAGCAAAATTGTCTCGACTTGCTTGCTCGCTGTCGAATCCCACCAGCCCTTTGGGCGTGAGTGGTTTAGAGAGCTCTCTCTGTTCTCAACCCCCCTTCTTCCCCTTCGGGGAGAGATTTACCCCTCCCCCTACCCCCTCCCCCTGGACCTGGAGAGGGATTCCCGAGCGTCGCCGGGGGTGTCTTTTTCGACGCCTGGGAGGGCCAAAAAAACGACGACCCTCACGAGGATTCTGGCCCCGAGGGGGGGGGGGAGTTTGGTCCCTCAGGCCCTCAGCTCGTCTTTGAAGCACAAATTTTTGATTTTACAAGGGTTTGGGCCCCATGTTGGCCTTCTGAGGGGGCCGCGCTCATCTTCCCTCATAGCAAAATCATTGATTTTACGAAGGTTTTGGGCTCATTTTGTCCTTCTCAGGGGGCAGCTCTCATTTGCTCTTCTGAGGAGGTCGCAAGAGGCCCCAAGATGGCCCCAAGAGGCCCCCAGGAGGCTCCCAAGAGGCCTCCAAGAGGCCCCCCAGAGGCCCCCAAGCCCCAAGAGGCCCCCAAGAGGCCCCCAAGAGGCCCCCAAGAGGCCCCCAAGAGGCCCCACGAGGCCCCCAAGGCCCCAAGAGGCCCCCAAGAGGCCCCCAAGAGGCCCCCAAGAGGCCCCCAAGAGGCCCCCAAGAGGCCCCCAAGAGGCCCCCAAGAGGCCCCAAGAGGCTCCAAGAGGCCCCCAAGAGGCCCCACGAGGAGCCCGAACGACTCACACCAGGACGAGGGGCCCGAACGACTCACACCACGAAGAGCCCGAACGACTCACACCACAAGGAGGGGCCCGAACGACTCACACCAGGACGAGGCGCCCGAACGACTCACACCACGAGGAGCCCGAACGACTCACACCACGACGCGGGCCCCGAACGACTCACACCACGAGGAGCCCGAACGAGTCACACCAGGAGGAGGGGCCCGAACGACTCACACCAGGACGAGGGGCCCGAACAACTCACACCACGAGAAGCCCGAACGACTCACACCAGGACGAAGAGCCCGAACGACTCACACCACGAAGAGCCCGAACGACTCACACCAGGAAGAAGGGCCCGAACGACTCACACCAGGACGAGAAACCCCAAACGACTCAAATCACGAGGAGCGCTTTCTCTCCCTCCTCCTCCGCCTCGTCCTTCTCCCGCTCCCCCCACAAGGAGGATGTACAAGGAGGCGGGAGGAAGGAGGAACAGGGGAGATATGCGGGGCCAAGCGGACACACGCCTGAAAAACACGACTGTCGGCATGCTTCGCGAGAGTTGCTGCTGTGAGATGGGCTGGTGGGGATACGCGAAGCGTAAAGATTCCACTACAACAATATATGCTGCTCGGTGCCCCGAGCATGAAAGCAAAATTGTCTCGACTTGCTTGCTCGCTGTCGAATTGCCGCGCACTCTTCAACAACGCTTCTTTTTCCGGCAGGAAATGTAGAATAGTAGGTATGTGATAGGAACGGTGCTACTAAGACGTGTATCACTTCCTACGGCTGCTCTCTCTCTCTCTCTATATATATATAGATATCGCACGTGCCCAGTGTTTCCTGTCGCACCTAACAATTTGGCTCATAAGCTGGGCGGGCGGGTGGGCGCACCTACTCACGTGTTGCCTGAGTACGGAAAGAGATGGCCATCATCATATTTGTTGCTTCGCTGGCATCAAGAGTTGTGCGTAGGAAAGCTGCGAGTAAAACTTACACTCCTCCCCTCCCCCCCCCCTCCTCGAAGGGCGACAACGGCGAAGGCGCGCCCGCGTCGCGCGCCCAGCCGTGCCCCCAGCCCTGCCACGACCTTTGCCAGGAGTCGTCGGCGCCCTGGCCTGGGGCGCTGCGGGGGGGCGACGGGGCGACGACGACGACGACGAAAGCAGCACAAACGATGGCGACCATCTTGCGAACATGTGATGTAACAAGCTGCGTTGACCTTTTCATCTTACCTGCCCTCGGAATCCATGGGCAAGCCCGATTTTGAAGAAGGCCTCTTCTTACACCAGCTTCTGCGTAAAACGCCCTCCCTGGGTTCGACAAAGCATCCGACCAGGGCGCGCGGGAGTAAACTACAACGAAAGATCGAACGGGGATCATTGTCGACGTTTGTGGCCTTTCGCCAACTTGGCGCGAGCTCGGGGGCCCTTGTGGCCAGGGTGTATCGGAGTAAAGTATGTGAAATATCGGTCGGGGCTGATGTCGTCGAAACTGGACCCCTGCCAACTCGATTGATCTGCGATGAAGTCGCGGGGAGAAAGGGGGGGTTGCGAAACGCGCGGGGGACAACAACAGCAACGACAGCCCCGCGGCTATCCTCGCGCACGCGACAAACTAAGATCGCACAATAACCGGGAAGACGTAAGATCCGGGTACGGGGGACTCGGTGTGTCCTGATGGGGCCATCATGGAAACGACAATACCACATCTGACATTTGACGAGACCTACCGCTGCAAACATCCCACGAACACTGGACCGTCACATCTGGGACGCGCTCGTCAAAAAGCATTGGCAAACCCGAGTTTTGGCTTACTCGAGTCTTACGTTTCCCCGAAACAGAGTCTCGCTGCAAAACGCTATCCCCCCAACTGAAGGGAAGGGGGCCCCGCGCGCGAGCACTGGCCGGGGAAAGACACGAAGGGGGCGACGACGAGAAATGGCGCCCGTAGGTGGCAACTTCTGCGACGCGGGCCTCGCGTTGCAGGAATGCTCAGACACGGAAGAGATGGCGCCAGCATGGATGTGTGGCACGTGCGGGTTCTCAATTTCGGGCGCCGCGCGTCGTGCAAGCAGGCTGGGTGCTGTGGCAGCAGCCCGAATGGTCCCATCCCGCAGGTCCAGACTAGCTGGGGCAATTCGTGGTGGGGCCCGTACGGGGCGTCCAAGGGCAAGGGCAAGGGGCCACCGCAGCCTGTGGGCCCAACGTCGGCCACAAGGGAGGAGGCGCTGAAGGAGGGAAGGCCAACGGCAAGAAACCAGGGCAGTCCCAGGCTCGGCGCGAACTCACAGTTGAGGAGAAGGAGATGTGGCTCAGCCTTTCGGAAGAGTCTTTCGCGCTCGCCTCGCAGTCCATTCCCAAGCATCGGCAGGACTCCCTCGCGCACCAGCGTGCGCTCCGAGTCCACGGCCTGTCGGGGGTCAAGGCGAAGGCAGCGCAGATTAACACGCCCATCGGGAAGTATTCGCAGCAGGTGGTCCACCTCAAGCAGGAGGTTGCCCGCCTCCAGTCCCAGACGCAAGCGGCGATCAAGGCTGCAGTCGAGGCGCAGGATGAGCTGGACGACGCGCAGGTGCAGCTGGAGGAGGCCAAGGATCGTGGCGAGAAGCTCGGCACACCAGGAGCTGAAGCCCCAGCGCCGACGCCGACGCAGCAGCTCGAGCAGCCGTTCAAGCAGGCCATGGACGGGTTCGCCGGCGTTCTCCCCGAGGGCGAGGCGGAGGAGGCCGTGGCCCTGCGCAAGGCCTTCGGTGCCATGCGCGAGGCGATTGAGGCAGTCGTGAAGGCCGCGTCGAAGGCCAAGCCCCCCGCAGCCCCCGACGCCCCCGCGCCAGGCGGAGGTGGTGCAGCGGCAGCGGGAGGAGCCGAGGCCGAGGCCTCAAAGGAGAGCCTGGCCTTCGCCGCAGGGCGTCGTGCTGCTCGTGCTGAGCGTGCTGGCGGTGCAGGCAAAGGGTCAAAATCCGACGATGTGGTCATCATCGAGGGCTCCCAGCAGCAGGAACCACAGCTTGCCCAGGAGGATGTCGACATGGCAGGAGGAACCGCAGCGTTGGACAAGCTCGGGGAGGCGCTCCGTGGCGAGTTCCGGGTGACCCTCGAGTACAGTCCTCCGTCCAGTCCTCGCTCGAGAAAGTCAAGGAGCAGATGGAGCAGAAAAGCGACGAGAAGCGGGGGGAGCGCAGCAGGAGTCCCACGAGGCTCTCGACGTGCTCCTGACGCCTTGAGTTAGAATTTTGTTTCGGCCAACGTGACCAGTTCGCCGAGATGCCAGTCATTTGTAATCGAAGAAAAACAAGCTCATGTCTCTTTCTGCGGGAGACTAAGGTCGGGGGACGCTTCGCAGTCTTCCCGCACGCTGGCCAATGTAGGTTGGAACGTTCGTTTCGGAACTTGTGATGTGACCCAATTTGAAGGTTTATCAGCAGGGGGTGGCTTAGCTGTCCGCAAGAGGGGTAGGCATGGGCAACAACCCCCATGGGCCCCGTCCCAACTCCCGCGCTGTTGTGGCCTGGGTCGGAGGTTGCGTCCAAAGGGGATTTAATGCTGCCAGTGTATACCTTCCCTGTGGGGACGGAGTAGGAGCCGAGGGCCTGCCGATTTCTTTTTCCAGGTCCGTAAGATTCTGTTCTCCATTTCAACGCTTTGGCGGATGAAGTTCGAGGAACGGGTTTACTTGAAAATATTGACGGGACCATCGTCCAAACAGGTAAGCCCACCTGCAGAGTAGGTAAAAAGTGAAGGGAGATCGATTTCTTCATTGCGTCAGCCAGCTTAGTGCCCTTCGTCTGGCGCTGTGATCGCTTGGAAGACTCAAAGCTCCCTAGCCAATACCCCGTCAAGATGTCTTTAAAGATGTGTACTCACGTAGGTATGATCAACTGCCTGAAGACCCCGAAGGGGTTGCCAGACCCTCCGGTCGGTCCTGCCCCTCATGAGGGGGGGAAGGCATCTAATTTCAGCTTGAGCAGTTGGTGAAGGAGCCGTCAATTTCGGCCACACAGGTGAACCAGACTTCCGCCACCTTTTGCGAGGCGGCAGAGCTCGAGCTCGCAGAGACATAACCAATTGAAGCTGAATGTTTCGAAAGGTTGTTGTTGGCAGACGTGACAATTACCACTACGTGCAGAGGCCTGCTATCGTCAAGGTTGGTGGACCACATCTGCTTGGGTCAGCTGGTTCACGTGCGCTACGTAAATTTCACACTCGCCTTGAAGACTTGGGACATCTTCGGAGGAAAGGGCTAGGAGATGAAGACCGTCAAGTGAAGGACTGAAACAAGAATCTCCAGCAGGCCCCCGAGATCCTCGGGCAGTCCCAGTCCTGGAGAAAGCGGGGCTCCGAGCACTTCAATTTCGAAGGCTACTCCGTGGTCTCCTTCAGAGACGCGTTGTATGAGCTCAGCGTGCTGATTCAGAATGAGGAGGCGTCTTGGGTCAGGTACCGGCAGACGAAGTGGAGGTCGTGGGTGCCCGAGGCTGTCAGCAAAGGGGGAAACATGGCGCATAGGTGGGTGAAGGTCCCCAACGAGTGGATTCCCGATGGCCCAGGCCCCGACGGGACCCCAAGAGGAGCCATGGATCAGATTGACGTTTTTGAGGCCGACTGGAAGGCGATCTGGAGGCACGGGGGATTGGCTGGCCCCGATCCAATCTGGCTGGACACGCTGCCCATGGAAGATCCTCCCGAGCCCCCGGAGCCCCGAGTGCTACGGCAAGTTCTAGGCAAGTTTAAGAAGAGGACTGCAGTAGGTGCGTGCAGGTGGTCACCTCATCTGCTGAAGGCTTTGAGCGACGAGGGGCTTCGCGCGTTTGGACTCCTACTCCATCTGTGGGAGAATGTCTGTCTGCCAGAGCAGCTCCAGTTGCTCATACTTCCTTTCTTGCAGAAGCCTGAGGGAGGACGGCGGCCGATCGGGATTCTCCAAACCCGGGCAAACGGCGATGTTGCTTAACGGCGAGGTTGAGAATCTGATGTTTAAGACCCCCCGCCCGCAGTGTAAACTCGATGAATTCGGTGCCATGGCGCACTTACTTTCCATCTTGACGAAAACAAGCTTCAACATCCTTGTTCAAGTGTTCCCGAACGCTTACAGGCGTCAAAGCCGTGCGCGCGCCGCACGTGCAACTATCGCGCGCGCTCGTTTGAACTCGGACGTCGTTGCGACGCAGAGCCCACGCAAAACGAAATGTAGGAAATCACGAACCACCGTCTCCTACATTTCAAATTTGCGAATGTATCGAGCGAAAACGACACCGCGAAATGTAGGAATGCACGAACCACGCTTTCCTACAAAAGGCTCGGCAACCAACAACGCTTTCCTTCAATCGTGTTTCCTGCGTCGCCGTTATCCGCGTCGCCTTTGAACCGTCTACGGCGCGATATTCTGAGTTCGTAAGAAATCCAATCATAAATGCAAGCAAGGCTGCTTGTTATGCAGGTCGCACCTGCGAGACACGGTTCCCCCGAAGCCAATGCCGCCAGCACGCGAGCCAGCCTCGCCTACAATACCAAACCCTACATCGCCGTTAGCTACATTGCCGTTTGCCCGTCTACGGATTCTTCCGAAGGCGGACAGATGGGAAGAGACAAACAACAAGGAGTACATGTACGGAGGGAAGGGGAGGAGCTGTGAGATGGGTGTATGGACTCAAGCGATCAGCAACGAAGCGGCAGCTGCGAGTCACTTCTTCAGCGCTTGCCCGATGATAGGTTTAGAGAAGTCATCTGAAAGAGTGACGAACCACTCGCTGGACCGATCGTGCCTCAAGTATGGGTTTAGTCAGGGCTGAACCTAAACGGTGTTGTTCGTTTTCGTGTTGTGTTCGTTTTCCCTCGTTGTGTCTTCAATCCGCCTTTGCAACGAAACGAAGTCGAAACGAAAACGGCCCACGAAATCGCCAAAACACTGTTTAGGTCCAGCCCTGCGTTAAGTATCAGGCGACGTCGAATGCTCCTCTCAGTCTCGGTGGACCTCGCTGCATCACGGTAGGCGAGGCCCTCTCCCTCACTGTCCAAGTCAACAGCAGAATCGTAGCAGGATGCTTCTTCGCCACAGCGCGTTTGAAGATTTTGCTGAAGGACGTGTGCGACCCTTTTTTGAGTCGGTGGCCGAGCCGAGGCTGGGGCTTGCGCTCATGGCAGACGGTTCCACGATCCAGGCCATGGGGTCGCGGAGGTACTTTAAGAAGTCTCTCGTGGACGGGACGTTGAGGTGTAGTCGGGGGCTCGAGGCCTTGGAGCTCAGGGCTTCCAGGAACAAGTGCATCCTGGTGGCCTCGGACCGTCAAGCTAGGCCGTGTTCTGAACCATGCCTTGCGAAAGTTTGCGTTCACGTATGTACCCGCGGCCATGAACATCGGAGCAGACTTCAAACTCGCCTTCAACAAGGGAGAGCAAATGACTAACAAACGAATCATGGCGGCCAAGGGGTGAATCGGACTATATCGAGCTTCCGTTCCGCGAAGAAAGCGACCCAGCTGATTTTCAGAGGTGCTGGGACGCTTGCTGCGATGTATGGGTTGGGGGTGGTGAGGATGTCCAACTCCCCCCTCCAGAAGCAGCGCGCCGCGACGGCAGCTGCCCTTTTGGCCCAGCCAAGGGAAAAATCAGAGCAGTTCAGTTCCTGCTCGCAGAAGTGCCGAACGTGGACCCCTCCTTTCAGGCGAATGCCCTGCCGCTCATGATGTGGACGGGAACCATTTTCCAGCAACGGACGACGGAGGCACGAACCGCGTTTCACAAGGCTCAGGCTGACGCTCGTCGAGGCTGGAGTGGAATGTTTGGCCCCGCGGGGGCCGCACTTTCATTCAGGGTCGAGCGCTACCACGGTCCGGGTGTCCACTCTGCACCACTAAGACCAAGCGGACGAGCTTTAAGTCGCTTTCCAGCACAGAGGGGCTCGCCTTGAGCCTCGTCTTCCTCCCCCTTTTCCCCCCCTTGCCCGTATGTCGGTGAGGATTGGCGGGGGCCTCTGATATCCGATCGCTTTCTCTCCAGACGGTGTCGACAGCTACTTCCCCTCGCGGAGGGTAGGATGCTCCACGAAAAAAAACCAGCCTTGCTTTGGGAATCCTATGTCCTAGAGGGTCCTCATGGCCACGGCTGGACGCAGCTGGAGGCGCCCTAGGAAGGGTCCAGGGATTCGAGTTGACCTTCGATCGGTTGAGCTGGGTGGCTTCTTAGACGGCAGGCAAGGGGCTGATTAGAAGGGATCGTCGAAATGAGCTGGAGAATGGAAATGCCGTGGCCTCGAGCGGCTGCCGCGGAAGCGTCGCCGAGTACCACCGGTCCAACAAAGGGAAGCAATGAGGCGAACTCCACCCGACGACCCGATGCCGTCAGTCGAGACGTCCTGCCGAAATCGGCAACACAGGCGAGAAGAAGGGATGAAGACCAGAGCATGACGACAAGGACTCTTTGCCTGGGACACAGAGTCTCGAATAGTTGAAACCAAAAGCTTCGGAGAGTGACACATGTAATCGCCTTGGATGCCCACCCAGATCTCCAATGTCGTGACTTTTTCAGCGCGGGGCGTCCGCAATCCTCGACCCGCTCCCCAAGTCAAAGAACAGACACGGCCCCGGGAGACCGAAGATGTGGGAAAAACGCTGGAATTGAAAAAATCACTCCGGCGGAGGGCTGGGGAGCCGATGGAGACGAGTGAATCGTCACTAGAACGAGCGCGCAGCAGCGCGTCGGACTCGTTCGCATTGCCTGGCCACCTTACCCGACGCAGCGCGGATGCACCACCCCCATGTAGAGCTCCATCACCTGTGAAGATGACACCACAGGGGTTGAGGATAGAGGGTCGAAGATTTCAATTATGCGGCATTTTGAATTTGCCTGGTCCTCCGGGAGCCTCTGGGGCCGCCCTCCGCTGTCTCCGGGGGCCTCCGAACACCTCTAGAAAACTTATAGACCTCCAGGAAAGCAAGGAATCCGCGGCTATTCCGCTACAAAGCGAATCCACATACCCCTCCTGTGGCATGGGATCACCCGCTCCCAACAAGAGGCGAAGTTCTGGCAGGTGGAGTAGTCGGGATTCAGGCAGTATGCGTCGTCGATCTCCTTCGAGAAAGTGAAGTAAGCCTGACGAACGAGGTTCAGCGGATACGCAACTTTGTTGAAGTGCATCAGCCCCGTCAACGCAATTCGACCGCAGATGGTGGGTTCCAACAGCTGTGGCTAGAGAAACACATAAAAACTGGCACGATCTTCTAATGTCCAATGAGTTCCTAAGTCGCGTATCTCATGCCAGTCCCACCGCATGTATGTCGCAATCAACTTTCGACTCCCCGAGGATTGAACAACGATGGCATGAGAGCCAACACAGCGAGGACACATACAAGCTTCAAACCTGTATACACCCTCGCTGTGTGTACGCATGCGAAGCTGGAGCGCGTGCTTTTCTAAGCCAGGTTTCGGAAAACATGAACTCCTACTTCGTTTGCGTAAATGGGTCAGCCCCCGAAAATCCAATATACTGCAAATGCTGGGCGGAATGGCGCAGCATAAATGATTGTCGATGTGTTTGCGCGAGCCTGGCACTATAGGTTTGATGTGTTATGTTTTCTGTGTGCCGAGTGGGCATATACGCACGGCCCGCAAAACCCAACGATCTTACTACTGACACGTCCTGACCACTTTTCCTCAAAGTCTTCGCGCCCAACGGCACGTAGAAATACTACGGCTCCTCGATCCCAGGGCAACAGCACCGAGCAGAGGCAAGTGGTCCGCGCTGCCAGGGCTTCCATCCCTGTCCACCTTATGAACCTGGCTCAGGCCCTGCTTTATGCATCCATGTGCAAAACAATGCAACAATACGCAATGCAATAACGTGCAAAGGTGCAAAGGACCGTAATTGGCAGCATCGCGTGACACAGCATGGCATAGGGACATAACAACAGCACGTTGCACAACATGGGCTGGCATACCGGTATACCATATCGTGGCCGCGCATATAACTACATGCTAGATCACGGCGTATCATCGCATCCATGGAATCACAGATCATGGAACTGTATAGAAACACGCAACTGATACAATACGCCTAGGTATAGTATAGCACGCCAGCGCATGTCCGAGCATCATGTTATGACAATCCTTGACCATGCATGCGATCTGACTGCTTCTCTGGCCACGGATGCTGAAACCGCAATGGGGTGCGCCTTGGGGAAAGACGTGTGCACGTCGGGACGGCCACCAGAGAACCAAAGCGGCAGGAAAGGAGGCCCAGGTACCTCAACCCGGTCCCACATCAGCGGTACGCACGGCATCGCCTTGGGAGACAACAGGAAACACACAACAAAATACTTGCTCCCGCGAAGTGGCAAGTACATCGTTGCAAATGTTCGACGCTGAAGCGGGTGATCGTGACACTGGGAATGATGGTGGACGGTCGGAGGACACTGACAAAAATGGTGCGGCGTCAAACAAAATTTGAGGTCTGGGAAGCACTACGTGCACCACTAAACACCAGGTATAATAACAATTGAAAAAGAAGGGGCCGTATCTAGATTACGACAGACAATGACGAGCCTGAACATTATGAATGTTGCGCGAGGTCGCATTTCCAGGGGAGACTACGCTAATCCATAGTTGCTCGACGCAAGGACCCCCATATGTGCATCTCATGTTCTGTCACCTTCCACTGTTCGGTTGCGGGCGAGGACGGGAATGAAAAGGAAAAGGCCTTCTCAGAAACCGGCGGGACTTTCAGACACCCTCGCGCCTTCTGAGAAGTTTGTATCGTATCATATCCGGGAAAGGCTTAGAACACTTCTCAGAAGGCTGGTGGGTTTCCAAACCTGCTGAGCAGGCCTTCTCCCTCTGACTTTCCCCACTCGTTCGCCGCCGATATGTGAGGCGGGGGGGGGGACCAAGGTTTGGCTCGAGACATTATTTCAATCTGCCGCACTCGCGCAAGTGGCTCGACGTCGTCAAGGTAAGCCACGTCCCCTGTCATCCCCAGGTCGTCGTCAATCCCCGGGTCTGCTTTTCCCTGGAGAAACAAAATTCCACCCCAGCTTGCCAATCTCTTTGACCTTACCCTTGATGCGCTCGATGCACGCACCCTGACGCCTCATGTCGGTGCCGATCCTGGCAGGGGCTGGTATCTCACCGCCTCGGCTGCTAAGATACTCCGCTGTCCAACTGGTCCATACCTCATTTTGGTCCCGCCAGGGATCGGCATGGCACGAACCCATCGCGCCGCGAAGCCCGCAACACTGCCGTGGTAGTGCTTGACCTCGTCCTGGTGAACATCTTCAGTGATCACGGTGGTTTCCTCTAACTTGGTGGCCCGCCTGCCACACTGCATGGCTGTGTCCGCGTCTGTTACCTCGCGCGTGTCGTCGCGAAACGCCATCCCATAAGCAATGCGGCCCAAATTCTAGCCGAGGGGCCCGCCGAGACGAACACGCCTTTGGACATGTCGCCCACCGCCACCCAATATTAGACATACTTGTGGAAGTTATCCCATCCAGCGCCGCCTCAGCGTTTGCAAATACATGTTGGAAATACGAACATCCACCGCCATCCGAGGGCATGAAGAAAAACATGCGAAACGACTTGCATCCACAGCCACCCAAGTGTCGCCTGTGACCTTGTAGGGAGGCCTTCTCATCGAGCTCGCCCTCCTCCTGGGCGCCCATCTCCTCGCGCGCCTCCCCGAAGTTGGCATCCGAGTTCGCCGACGGTGTCTTTCTTGGTTCGCATCCTCCTCGTCGTCTTGCTGTCCTCCCGCAGGGCCGCCCTTGGCCTGCGCCGCCGCGGCAGCTCTGTCGGCTGCTGGATCCGGCGGCGCCGCCATGCATCCGCCGCGCCGCGGATGACCAACCTTAGCCCGCAGTGCGCGCGCGCCACGGTGCCTCGCAACGCGCCTGCAGTCGCACCCTGTCCGCGAAGTCAATCCTGGCGACGCCTCAAACAATGGGGTTACCCTGACCTCTGTCGCGCGTTCTCTTTGCATCTGGCTTGATGACCATTCCACCTAGCATCCCGGGGAAGCCCGTCATCATCATCCTGGAATAGAGGATGTTCCTGTGAGCCCAGACCACCCATGCATCTGCCAGCGATCGGATGAACCATGCCAAAGCCTCAACACGATGAAAGCTGCCTCCTCCAAGCCTTTCCTCGGGCAACACATAAGCTGAGAACATCGCGATAGTGCCCGGCCGTTACGGCCGTGAATCCGACAGAAAGGCCCGTGCCTCCCGCCTCGCGCTGGCTCGCTCCCACTAGATCGCACCCCGTCGTCGTCAGGCGGGTCTTCGCCGCAGTGAACTCACCTCCGGAAGCCCCTGGCTGCAATCTCCTGGCGGGCACTGCCGGCGCGACCGCGCGCCCCCGGCCGTCGCGGGCCTCTTGCCCCCCGATCGTTTCCACGCCACCGGCGCCGACGTGCGTCTCCCACTTCAGGATGAAGTCCATATTCTTGCCTTCCTCGTTCAAAGAATTGCGAACGTTGGGGCCCCGCTGCGCGACGTTTGAAGAGACGATGATAAAAAAAGACTCCCCGCCATCATGGGCGGCCGAGGGCACCCCCGCAAAGCCTGCCGCGGGGGCCTCCTTTCCCTCGGGGCGCGGGCGCCGAGGGTGGCGCTGGCCCTTCTCCTGCTCCTCTGATCTTGGCTTCCGCCTGCTGCCTGAGCTTCGCAGCCTCCATCGGCCGCTCGGCAATCTGATCGGGGTTCGGCTTGCCAGAGGCGCGCGACTTGACTCTCGGCCGCCGCTGCCGCTGGAGCAGCGTAACGGGGGCTTCTCTGCCGCTGGCTCCGACGTGCCAGTTTCGCCCACTCTCCTCTTCTTTTTGACCTGCGCCCGCTTGCGCGTCGCGGCCTAGGCCTCGATCTCGCTGATACCTCTGGATTTGCTGGCCGCCGCTCGCGCAATCCTCTCCAGCTCCCCCGTGCCCGCCCTGAACTTCTGGTGCTGCTGCTGGCCGGCCCCCGCGTACTTGTCGATGTCGTCGAAAAGATCCCCAACCTCTGGGGCCCCTCGTTCGATCCCCTGCGCGGGGGCGCCCGCTGACTCAGCGTGGCACTCCAAGGGTATCCCCTCGCGGTCCTCGACAGCGTCGGCGGCGACCTCCAGCGCCGTGTCGTTCTTGTCCTTCGCCTCCTGGAACCTGAGCTCGGCCTCCACGAGCTGTGCCGTTGCCGACTCCACTGCGGACTGGGCGCGGTCGCGCCCGTCGGTCGCCTGGCGCAGTCGAGTTCCTTGGGGGCTTCCTGCTGCTTGGAGCCGCCGCCTCTACAATCTGCTGCTGCGGCAAATTGATGGGAGCCTGGCCCCCCAGCGCCTCGCCCGCCTCGACCATGTCGAACAGCGCGCTAAGCCGCTAAGCTCGACGAGGGGGCCGTGCGCCCCGCCGCCGATCTTCCTCCGCGGCAGCAGACTTCCCGCAGCCCTGCCGTAGCGCGTCGACGCGACATCGAGGCTCGGTCGCCCTGGTGCCCAATCGGCCATGGCCGTCTGGCGCGCGCTGCGCCGGCCGCCTGAGCGATCGCGATTCCACTTGTACACCCCGCCCTTGCACCCCGGCCAGATGGCGCACTGAGCTCTCGCTAGGGCGCCAGGGGGCGTCGCGATGATATCTCCAGCGGGGGGCGCGAACGTGCCCCTCTAAGAGCTCGCAAGAATGAGAGCGACCTCGCACGGGCGAACGCGCGAGGTCCCAACCAAGGCTGACGGGCGAAAAATCGAAGACTGGCCGCAAATCAGCGGCGTCCGCGCGAAGGCGCGGCCACGTCAAAACCCGGCGCTAGAGTGGCCGCGGAGGAGGAGGAGGAGGAGGGCGAGGAAGAAACGCAGGGGTGGGGGCTGATGGAGGAGCAAATATGGGAGGCCCCCTGGCCCCCGGGTCGGAAAACTGGTGCGTCTGGGCCCCGGCGGGGGGGGGGTCCATTTTGAATCGGCCGCGGTCGTCGTCGTCGCCGTCGCCGTCGCCATCGCCGTCGTCGTCGCCGTGACCGCCGTCAAGGGCGGAGGCCAGAGCGCGCGGCCAAGGGAGCCTCTGGGGGGGGGTGCGGGCCCCCGTCCCGGTGAACGGCGTGCCTCCCCCTCGCCTGTCCTCCTGCGCCCTCCTCGCTGCCGCGGGGCTCTGTTGGGGGCCCTGCTTGGGGCTATTTTGGACGCCGCCAGGGGAAGGGGGTGCCCGGCGCGCGCCGCCCGCATCGCTTCTTGGAGCCCTCTCGGGGCTCTTTTGGGGAGTCTTGGGGTCCTCGTTGGGGCCCTGTCGGGCAGCCTTGGGGAACTCCGGAAGCTGCATTGGAGCATGCTTGGGGCCCTCTTGGGGGCCTTTTCGGGCTTCTTTGGGCCATCCTTGAGGGCGTCGATCACCGGGGGGGGGGCGCCGGTGCTTCTCCTCGGGGCACTCAACTCCAGAGGCCTGCCGTGGGCGGCCCGACGCTCGACGGAGCGCCCCGCGCAGGCCAGGTGGGGGCAGGCCGCGGGGGCGCGCGTCAAATGCGTCCAGGGCCGCGGGTTGCTTTGGTCTGGCAGGTCTAAAATAGTCGGGGAAGCGGCGTGCATGCATCCAACAGGCGCCAACTTTATAAGAGCCAGCAGTTCCAAGCGCCCCAGGCCTTGAAAACTGCAGAACCGTCGGTTCTACGCGTGGCAGCTGACATGCGCGGGGGGCAACGCCCCCAGTGAGCTGCAAGGTCTAGTCTGGGCGCGCGCATGACGCGACTCCGCTGGGCCCGCCAGGGGCCCGCGAAACCGGCCACTGTCGCGCGGGCGGCGGCGCGCCAATGGAGCCGCGAGGTCTAATCTGGATGCGCGCGTGGCACCACTCCGCAGGGCCTCGCAACAAATCCGTGACAATGGCGACCGTAGCGCGGGCGCAGGCGCCCCCGGGATACGCGAAGTCTAGCCTGGCTTACAACGATGCCCCACTGAACTCCCCAGGGCCCCAGCTGGGGCCCGCGAGCGCGGCAGCGGTCGCGCGACTGGCGGCGCCACCGGGGGCCGCGAGGTCTGATCTGGACGCGCGCGTGACACCACTCTGCTGGGCCTCCTGGGGGCCCGCGACACTGGCGGCAAGTGCGCGAATTGCTACCCAGAAGGAGCCGCGAGGTCGAGTCTCGACGCGCGCGTGTCAGCGCCCCGTTTGACCTCCCAGGAGCCCACGACACAAGCGACAATTACGCACGTGGCAGACCCCCCCCCCCTCCCCCAGGAACCGCAAGGTCAAGACTGGATGTGCGTGCGTCACTGCTCCGACAGGAAAGCGGCGACAGTTTCCCAGGCGGCAGCGGCCGAAGGAACCGCGAGA